TCACAAGAGCCTCCTTCCTCTCAGGAGTCTGTTTCCCGGGATCAAACCAGATGAATCCCTCCACTGTTTCATCTTTCTAGCCAATCATAGACAAATCCACTGCCCCTCCCTTATTCTTTCCTCTGCCAAACTATATGATGGCACTCAGAAGAAGCCGGGGGATGTTAAAGTTATGTCCAGTGTTGTTTTTCTTCTTTATTCTGTCTGTCCCACTCGCTACTTCTTCCTTCAGTATCTCCACATACTGGTCCCTGTATTGGAAAAGAACCAAGGGCCAGTACATAATGACCTTCCTAATACGCTTATTTGCTTTGTAGATTTTTTCTTGGGTGGAAAAAGACATTGGGAGTGGGGTTTTTGATTGGGGATGTGATGGAAGGTGTGGTGTAGGGTAGTATTGTCTAAGTGACTGTGATGTTAAAGGGCTCAGACGCGCTATACATGGATCTGGTGCCATAAATTGTGCCTATGGGAACTTTGAGAACAATGCATATGATTGCACGTGATGAAAGTTGGACTTGTATATCTCACAATCAAACCCCCGAAATGTTGCAAATGCCAACCCCCCAGTGCAAATCTAGTGCCCAGGAACCATCCCCAGGTATGTCCTATCATCTTAAAAATTACTCCACCACCATCTTGAAATACTTTCTCTTGAGGTTTACCCATGTTACCCACTATGTTACCCACTATATATGGCCCAACTACCATAAATTTTATGTCCATACATTTACTTGTAATTAAAAGGTCTGATATATTTCATCAGCAATTTCAAGTGAGTCAACTAGCTTATCAAATAATTTGCCACCCCAAAGGGGGCTCCGACTCATCCAAATGCTCCCTGGGGCCCTCCTCAGATCTCTCCCCAGCACCCACTCTTACAAACAGTATCAAAAATATTGGGGTGCCATGCAAAAGACCTAATTGTAATAACACCAGGAAAATATTTTTTGTTATTGGGATTTCATGTAGGAGACTCAATTGCAACAACCCCAGGAGCACAAAATTAGGGATGCCCAGGCTCTCAGTCTTTAACATAGGGGTCCCCTGTGTATAAAGGACATCTTAAAAAGCTGGAAATTCAATGCCACCAATGCCTGAACGTTCAAACAAGGATAATGGTGGAAAAAGAGTCTTGTTCTCAGTGTTGGTGCTCTACCTGTGACAAAGAAAGTAAAAGAGAGCACAGGGATAAATGACTTTGACCTGGGTATACCAAAATTCAAGTAGATAATTGTATTGCTACATCAGGAAAATGTGTTAGTTTTGGTGATTCTGCACCTTTGTGCTACCTCTATATTTTCATTTTTTTCTCTATCTATTCCTCTACCATTCAGTATTGATTGTGTTCTCTATTATTTCGCCTTTGTGGTTCCTTTGTTTACCTTTGTTTACAAAACTTTGGACAGTACTGCAGAGTCCAATGCTTCCTATTCTCTAGTTACTCACATTGGACTCTAGGTACTGTATACCTGTCATACTCTCTAATAATATAGTTACTCACATTGGACTCTAGTTCCAGTTCCTGATAGCTGTCAGCAAGTGGTTAGACATTTCCTTTAAGCTTTGTTCTTAATAAAATGGGGGTAGCTATATAGAGCTCTATAGCACTATAAGTACTTATAAAGCTGTTATAGTGGTCAAACCTGCTATAGAACCTCTGCCATCTATAGAGCCTCATATAGCTCTATAAATGCTCTTATAGATGTTGGAAATTGTTGTGTGGCTGATAAAAAAAAATTAACACAGGCAAGAATTGAACTCTTAACCTGCTAGTCAGTTTTTGGGTGACTAAGCAACCTATAGCCACATATCACACATTTATCCACTACACCACAAGAGCTTATAAAATGTGTTATACAGGTGTTATATATTAACCATTCATGGACTTAGGTTATTTTTTTACTCATTATCATCACTTGTATTTGGATAAATCATTATTCTTATTTTTATAAATATCAAAGATACAAACTACTATTTCACCAATACAGACTACATAATTGATTAATGCTGTATGATTTATTAACCCTTTTAAGCAGCTTCAACTATATTATAACTATGACATTTATAGCTGTAGAAGCTATGTAGGCTGTCATAGGCTATAAGAGCACTTATAGTACCTTGCCTATATTAATATACTTGACTCCAAACACTTCTGGCCTTTTTCTATTGTGAACAAGTTTAATAGATTAATCCAGAGTTTGAAGGAAATATAGATGCTTCTCCCCTTGGTTAAAATTTTGCCTACTACTGTGCTATAAGAGCTATAAGAGCTATAATCACGCTGATAGTACTATAGTTTCTATGAATGCATTTATATATATAGGTGGTGGCTATATAGCACTATATAGCAAAAGGGTTTTTCCTGATGTATATATAAATATATACCTAAGTATGCCTCATAGATGCCTCAAATCTATCAGGACCTTAGAAGGCAGAATTGTTAAGATTTAATAATAGCTCAGATATTTATCAAGAGTGAAAATAAGACCACACGCATCTCAGCAACCTATTGCACTCTTTGCCATGCATCATCCTGTTGTTAAGAACAAACCTTAAGGGAAGTGTTTAACCACTTGCTGAGAGCTATTAGGGACTAGAACTAGAGTCCAATGTGAGTAACTAGAAAATAGGGAGCATTGGACTCTGCAGTACTGTTCAAAGTTTTGTAAACAAAGGTAAACAAAGGAGCCACAAAGGCAAAATAATAAAGAACACAATCAATACTGAATAATAGAGGATTAGATAGAGAAAGGAATGAAAATATGTAGGTAGCACAAAGGTGCAGAATCACCAAAACCAACACCTGTAACCCAGCCGAGTTGTGTAAAATGGAAGATTATTACTATACTATGTGTAGGAGCCGAGTACAGGAGTTACAGCTTATATACTAAACAGAGGGAGTGAATTTTGTAAGGAGTAACTTATAATGTAGGTACAGACTTCCATGCAGACAATTACCCAACAAGGAGAAATTGTATGTGAGAGAAGTGTACTATAAGGTCTAAGCTACAGAGTCTATGAGAAATATAAGAGTGTGCAGAGACAATATATGGCTGACTGGAAGTCCAGGGTAGGAGAATTAGATTAGATATTTGGTGTACCGTATAGGAGCAAGATACAGGACCATGCTGGGCAGCAGAGCACAGGGAACATAATTCCAGGAAGACCAAAAATTTGGGAGTTTGGACTTGGGAGTTCCTAACTGTTCAAAGGTTTGGGTTTCCTAACATGTGGCAGAAATATGACACCAAATCCCAGCTATATCTATTTAGAATATGGAGGCTCTGGTTGATATTGTGACTGCCTGCTACGTTGCATCTCATCAAGCTTAGTAGGGCTACCACACATCCGATCTACTGCTAATACAGACAAAACTATAATAAACCTTAGGTTTGGGTCCAGTTCAGTTTCATTCTCAATTTCCAAACCTCAGGTTGGTCTGTGGTTTGGGCATTTTTGCTATTGCCCAAACTCAGTTTGGACAGGTTCAAACCAACAAACCTTAACACTGTCACCACCACCACCACCAGGCCATAAAAAGTGACCCAGAAATGTGTTAATGCATTACTTGGGTGCTTTCTTGAGCATCTACCACCACACTACCACTGCCATCATGCCATCACCACTATTGCCACCACCTCTCCACCAACACCACCTCTCCTCCTCCTCCTCCTCCTCCTCCTCCACAGCCACAGCCACACCATTCAGGGTGGACCCAGAAAATGTGTTAACAAGTTGTCTAGGCCCTCCCTCAAGTGTCCACCTCTGGCATTAGCCCTTATTACTGATATATATATGGCAAGTGCATGGGGCATTAACTAGTTCACAATTTGAACTGAGTTTGAACCTGGACCAAACCAACTGAACTGGGCCTGGTGTTGATGATGAAGACTGCTTGTTAAAAAACCACACACAAAACATATTAACAAATAATCCTCCCACAATCCACAGAACTTATTTGTGGGCTAGGCTTTTTAGAACAATGGGTGCCTCCGTTGTTTGTGGGGTGGCAAGCTTTATGATCCTTCAAAACAAAACCCTAGTGGTGTGGGTTTGGAGGAGGAGGGATAGTTGAAATATAAGGGCTTGGTACTGAACTAGATGTTAGAATATACTCTGACATATCAATACTCCATAGGACAATACCTCTGATTTGTAAGCCAGCCCAGCATGGAGCAGCTATTCTGTGTAAGACGTCCGTGGTTGCATGTTATGTTTAAGATCCTATTTTGTATAATCTTGGCCATATAACTCAACTGGTAAAGTAGCTGGCATGTATCCAGAAGGTTCCAGGTTCAATCCCTGGTCTGGTCAATATCCAATTTTATCACTAGATTGGGGACTGAGATAAATATAGATGAGCATTTCCTTGCTAATTATAGCAAAAAGCAGGTTTGAGAATGAGATGACAAGATTCCCAGTGATAGCAGGCTCCTGATGCACAAACTGTAGTGCTCAGAAGGACTCTAATTGAAAGAGATGACAATTAATGGTAATAGCAGCAAAAGGTATTGTGACTACACTGGATCACAAGTAGCAGTAGGATAGTGGGCTTGAGCTTGGAATTCTGTGAGAGATCTTATATACTTGATAGGATAAGACAAAATTTGAAACAAGACTGGATCCACCTGTAGTTCCCATGGAAGTCCTGTAACTAGACATTGTATTACCCTGCTGATGTAAGTCTAGTTAGAGGCACATATCCGTTTCCCAGCCTCTTTCTATATTTCCTTAATAATTCCACAGACTTAGGCTCGCTGCGACATCACCTCCACCGGCAATACCAGAGTCCCTGCCAGAGACATGACCACAATTGCTACGTCATCCAATGTGTGTCATTGCCTAACGGCTTGTCGGCCAATGATAGTCACAACACAAACAGTAACGTGCGTGACGGGACGCGCCCTGGCACGACAGGTGTCATGCAACAGCACTCAAAAGCGCTCTCATCATCTCTACCATGAACATGGCACTATCATTCTAGGCACGTACTACTATTAAACATCATCTGACATGTTAACAATGTTTTCTAGGGCCTGCAATGCCTCCTCCTTGTCCTCCTTATCTTCCTCCTTGACCTTGAGCTCTCTTTGCTCTTCAAGATCCTGTTCCTCCGCTCCCTCACTCTCACACACATCATATTGGCCATTTTTGCTAGGATTAGGTCCTGCACCCACTCCAACGTTGTCAATACAGGCCTTGGCCTTGCTACCGCTCTCCCCTAACCAGGTCTGAGTGCTTTGACCACGCAAGATGGTCCCTGTAAACCCATGTAGGCGAGAGATGTCAAGGAGGCGGGAAATGTGAATTTTATTGAAGCGGCCACACTCACACCTATGCAAAGCAATCTGATGAGCAAGTTTAGGATCATGGACACTCACCTGGTCTTCGCAATCACGCAAGTACTGATTCTCATCCTGCAGGTACGTGGCTACACGCCTAATTTCAACATCCAGTCTCTCAATTTCCTCTCTAGCCCGACAAATCTTGAAATGTTGATCCATGGCCAAACGACCAGCAGGTGTGGCCCATGGTCGAGTAGATATATCCTGGTGGGCATCACACAGGAGGTCAAAGTCTGCGAGAAAGGCGTACTCAACAACTTTTTTCCATTCCAGAGTACGCCGAGGGGGACATAGGGCTTACGCAGCCATATTATAGCGTTCCAGTGCTGTTTGTATGGCGGCCGACCTAGCCTGCAGGGCCTTCCCTATACGTTTCCATAGTGAATACCCTAGTAGATAGATCAATAAGGTATCATCATGTATTCCCTGAATAGAGCAAGCTCACCTATTTGCGATCTATTCATTTTGGTGAGCTCGAACATACAAGCTACCACTAAGCCTTCTAGCTGATCTAATGCCCGCTAGTAGTTGCGCATTGCTACGAGCTTTTCGGTCTTTTGCCATTCAGGACTATCTGGCGTCCATCTTACATTAATTTCTAGTCTCACTTCGAGCCTCTGGACCTTTTGTAGCTCTTTGTCGTGATTTTCCATGGCATGCCGGCGAGCTGTCTCCAATTTCCTTGTTATGCCCAGTAATACAGAACCGGTAGTAACTGCACTATGTGCTGAGGCTTCTAGAATGGCAACAAATTTTTGTCTGGGAAGTGGCCATAGTCTCAGTTAGATTGAATATAGATGAGATCACGCACTCGCTCTTCTGGAACTCGCGAAGCTGGTGTAGATATTCCATTTGAAGTGTTTCATCTTGAGGTTCCTTTTGTAGCGAATTGAGGTAGGCTTTTTCTTCTTGTAGCCACGACTGGCACAGGAAGAATCCAAAATCTGGCTTCAATCAACACGCCTCAGGCGTCAGTGCTGTTAGCTCACTGCCTGGTGGTACATAGACTCAGATTTCCATCAGCGTTCTCTCCTCCTCTTTCGCACTCCCTATTGTTGTCTGATCAGTGGACAGATGCCAGGTGCCCTCTGCTTAGGTATGTTACTGTCTCACATTTTCTGAGCCGGCTATTGCTCATTATCTACACATAAGCACTTGCATGGCTTGTCTTCCTAGATGCTGGTCAGTGGGGAATTTCAGTGACGGGTTGTTGTTTAGGTAGTATTAGTAAGTCTTTCTTTCTAAAGCTTCAAATAATTTTTTGATTTTTGATTCTCAAGTTCTCGGGTACTAGGTACTCTTGGAGCACTAACAGCTCACTATATGGCAGAGAGGAGTGCTGACATATAAGTGGTGAGTAAAAGTTTTCAATTTAGCGACACTGATTGAATGCAATGTCAGCTTATTCTTATGCACAGATATGAGTTTGAACTGCCATATTAAATACCGTACAAAAAACTAATAGAAAATGCAGGTCTTCAGGTGAGTTATTAAAGCTACGCTCATGAGATGACCTTCTACTCGCTGCACACATTGACAGATGTTACTACCAAAACCCAATAATGTATGTTCATCCATCAGATTACACTGCTATGCGTAGACATGTGCATGCAAGTCTAGCTAATCGCATTCTCATTTTTGCTTCAACTTAAATTTATGATTTTTTTTGATGAGTTCCAGTTTGTTAATTCAACCAAACCACAGGCAATGGTCACTTTTTCAACAGGTAAGTTTTTTATCTCTTGATCTTGTCCTATTACTCATTTTAATAATGGCTAGCTATATATTTCCTGCCTGGCAGGATATGCTGTCATCCAGCAACTCTACTACACATGATGCCCTGGCGCAGGCAACACCAAACTTGTTGTTTATGCCGTCATCTCCCTCAATCTACCCCCGTCATTTACCCCTCAGAAATAGTACCGCTGACATCCAGACTTCGACGCCTGCACCCGCTCCCCAGACCAATGTCAGAGGAGCTGCTCCCAGGCCAATCCCCCTAAACCTAATCGATCCGGTGCTCCTTGGGGAGCCATCGCCTCCAAGTGCCTCTACTAATGGTCTTCATGCCTTGGCGAACAACTCTCCCCCTTCTGCAAGCAACTCTCCTCGCTCTGCAAGCCACCCTTGTCCTTCTGTGAATGGCCCTTGTACCTCTGCGAACAACTCTCCTCCCTTTTTGGACCACCCCTGTCCCTCTGCAAATGAGCCTCCCCCCTTTTCAAACAGTGCTCCTCCCTCTTCAAACAACCCTTGTCCCTCTGCAAATGAGCCTCTGTCTTCTGCAAATGACGCCCATTGCCCTGCAAATGAGCCTCATCCTTCAGCACCATAAGTCCTCCCCTCCCTTATTGTACAATGTGGGCCATCATCCATACGCCTCGAGAGAACTACCTGGGCTGGCCGAAACCCCAAACGACCTATCCAGGTACCTCGGCCAGCTGCTCGTGAACTCACGAAGGCAGAACAAGCCTCACGTGCCATTGCCGCAAAGGAGAAAAAGGTCATGAAACAGCAGATCAAGGACGATATCGATGAATACTTACAGGATCAACTTTATTTGGTAGCTCTAGCAGCCAAGCACAATGTGACATTAGATTATATGAAGAAACAAGTTAGTTCTGAGATGAACTACAAGACGACCTGTGCACCCAATATCTACAACGTGATTGTTTACGCAAAATCACTGGAAATTAACATAGCTATGTACATGTACGATGGAAACTTCTTGACCACTAACATATACGTGTCAAGGCCTACCACTGGGCGAGAGAAAAAATTTGAAAGAGCTACAAAACATAGCAAGCAAGACCACCAATTCATCCGATCTAAACCAAGAAGAGCGTGAGGAACTCTGCAACCACTTCCTTGAACAATGTAAAGTGAAGATCACAGGAAGTCATGCCAACAACACCGCTGTGGCAAGGGATATGATGTTAACTGCAGAAAGAATAGGAAGGGAGGTAAGTATCAAGCCATTGTCTGCCACATGTTATGTCATTACTGATTGATGCTAGTTTGATAATCTCGCTCTTCGGACAGGTGCATATGGGTGCTTCTTCTTGACGTGTGGCCACATCTACAATACTGGGACAACTACATGGTATGGAAGCGATAATTTGATGGACTTCTGGGAGGATATCATTGGCAGAGACCCAGATGAACTTGCAATGTTATTTGAGCAGTGGGCCTGTTCGCAAAATCAGAGTATGTTGTTTCTTTTCTTATATTTCTATCTTATCTCATTATTTTTATCAGATGTTCATGAATAAGACAACCTTGCTAATTGCCGTCAACAATGTACCAGGCTCTGCGGGAGTGGGTTGCGTAAGTATTATAATCCTTATATTACTCATATAGTTGGTATGTACTGATGCATTCTATGTAACAGGAAATCTTTTAAAACGAAAAACAAAGATGGTATACAAACAATACGACCAATCTATTGTCGCCACACATGGCGTCAAAATCATAGGTTGGCCGGAAGATGTTCCATTTGTCAACCCATCTGCAATTGGTACCATGGCTGAAATACACAAACTGCAAGATGCATGGAAGACTGGAACATGTCATTGGGTAAAGCTTTCATCGGCCCAGCTGCAAGAACACAAAAAACAACTAGATGCACGTCTCCGATCAGGTGAAGTCACGAGAAAGAAGAGAAAGAAGCATTCTGATGCAGGCTTACCCCGCAAGCGATGTCAGGTTGCACGCTGTGATGAGAATGAAGGAATTGAACAAGGTGGTAGCAGAGTCCCAAATACACAAGGATGAAAGGGCAATCAAAGGGCACCAAAGAGTGCAGAGGTCATTAAGGTGTTGTCAGAAAAATCAGATGAAGATTGATGGTCATTAAATGGTATACTGTACCATATGTAGTTATGCCCATGTCTCCCCCTTCGTTTATGTTGTATGCTAGCTATGATTCATGTACCCCATCATTCTAATGCGTGTTTGTTGTTCAAGTTGTTGAGCACATTCCCTATAGCCTATCAACGTAGGGACAGGTGTGGCATTGAGAGCGCCAGGGCGCACCCATCTCACCGCCAGGATGTGTCACATTGTGCTCAACGCCAGGCGCGTCCCGTCACACGTGTTACTGTTTGTGTCGGGACTATCATTGGCCGACAAGCCGTTAGGCAATGACACACATTGGATGATGTAGCAATTGTGGTCATGCCTCTGGCAGGGACTCTGGTATTGCCGGTGGAGGTGATGTCGCAGCGAGCCTAAGTCTGTGGAATTATTAAGGAAATATAGAAAGAGGCTGGGAAACGGATATGTGCCTCTAACTAGACTTACATCAGCAGGGTAATACAATGTCTAGTTACAGGACTTCCGTGGGAACTACAGGTGACTGGATCATGATTCTGTTAATATACAAGGTAATGTACAGATGCTTATATAATAATAAAAAAGGAAAACCTATGCACAGTATATCTGTGCAAAAAAGGAGAAAGAATGCAAAAGAATGTAATGACAACTTATGTGAGAGTAGTACAGGATAGAATGGTTAAAAAGATAAGGAACAGAAACTTCTAGAGTGTTACAAATTGTACAGCCAAAAGATAGTCCAATAGCAAAAACAGCAAGTCATAGCAATATGCAATAAAAAAGGGCAAGGCAAAAAACAACATCACTATCAACACAGCTCTATCAACACAGCTCCTTGTTATCAGTCAGGCATTCTAAAAAAATATGATTCCATAAGAATGATTCTTAATCAAAAATAATCACACTGCAAATGTATTTCCCATGATGTCCCATTTGAAACCCCAGAAACAACAATTGATTTACCAAACCAAGGTTCTCCTATGCTAATTCAGAATATTCACATAAAACATGAAACATTCAATAGTGTCAGACTTCGGGACACATCTATACAATCATGAGCCAATGTTTGCAGTGTGTATAGATGGAGTTATGACTTTTTTGTCTGTTTGTTTGAACTTTTGCCATTTGGAAGGGGCCATGAATCTGTTAGTTAACATGTTTCACAAGATGTGTACCGCGTTCACCTGCAGAATGACTAACAGAAGCTAGGATGAGGACTCCTGGGACCCGAACCAACATTAACTATCCCGCAATTGCATTCAACGTACTAACACACGATATTCCCGTCGAAGTGACGATATAATCAAGAGAGGCCGGTAACGAGACAGAGCTGAAGACAACGCCAAGTTTCCGAATTAACATGAAGTCGTCCTTAGTGCTCCGATCTGCTGGTTTAACACTGTCATCGATATAGCATCGCCGTCGAGTTCGCTCCATGAAAAGGCGTGCATTGATTTGATTAGCCCACATCAGTCCCAAACTGGCCTCCTTCCCGTCTGCTCCAGATTCGACCTCTGACCTGGCAAACCACCGAAACTGGTCGTGATATAATATTTCTCGCGTTATGCTCGAATCAAATGGTTCGTTGTCAAAAACATCGACAACACTATTCAAAACTAGTACGGCGATATCATGTTTGCTTGCGAGTCTTTGTAGAAGACTGGAAAACTCGGTGATATACCGCGAACGATCCACCAACAAGGCTGTCGTGGTCGCCGGAGTAGAACGGAAGATATCGGGCAACGCATCAAGGACGACTAACTTGACAGGTTTCAATGAGAGATTGCGGGAAGTGTCAGATATGAATTGCGGTAGGATTGTTGAAAGAACGTGAAACAATAGCTCAGGAGAAGATGTGGATATGGTATGCACATTTTTTAAATCGCACAGCGAAAGCGAAAGTAAAGGGTGGGCATGCAGTAGCTGGTCCAAACGTTCAGTTGATAACGTTGAACTGCTGGTCAAGTAGCAGGAGGAACCTAAAACGCCACCCAGTGCAGTAGGAAGCTGTACAAGTAGAGATAGCTGAAGAGCAAGTTGGGACTTGCCAGAGGCACTGGGTAGCTTGATTGGCAGTTGAATAGGCGCCTTCCTTTGAAACTCACCTTTCTCCGACCACTTCCCAAATCATCCCGGTCCTAATCCCGCCTCCAACAGCACAGTCTAATTCGGAATCGCCTGTTGTAATTATGCTTTCATGCCCTGGCACAAATTGTCCTAGATAGTGAAGAGGTCGGGACAATTGATCGCAAACGTCACTAAAAGCTTTCTGAGCCTCGAAGAGCGAAATACGACATTTGCGTGATATATCATGCGGAGTCATAAGGAGAAAGTCTGTGACATCTGTTATACCGCCTGTATACATTGCTTGACAAATATAAACGGCTCATATTGACAGTTCCACAAACCTTTAGCGAGGATATGCCTCGAATGTACTGCAAGATTGGTCATGAGCGTGCCAATCAAGGAGTGATTGGTACATTCAGGGGCGTGACAAGTGACATGACTTCGATTTGGTGAATTTTGGTGCAAGGAGGCTGACTTATCACGTGAGTTCTATAGCTACGGGTTTGTCGATGTTTGCCTCCGTAGCGGTGACATGTCACAGGATTGGCGCAATGACTGACGACTCCTCGCAGTCCAAGTACTCTCAGTCAACCCTCGAGCCACTTTCATAACCCAATACTTTCTTATATTCAGAATGAGATCCAAATTCAAAGACGAGCATCCTTTTGGTACGTGGTTGAACCACCTATCTTGTATCCCATTAAAGCAGCTCCCAGAGAAGCGCAAGCAGGAGGCAGAGCGCATCAGGCAAAAGTATCCTGACCGAATTCCTGTGAGTGATATATTCCTATTTCTAACCGTGTTAATAATTCTTGTTTCATTTTCTCTCCAGGTGATTTGTGAGAAAGCGGATAGGACAGATATTCCTACCATCGATAAGAAGAAATATCTAGTACCTTCGGTAGCTTTCCTTCTATCGTGTGTAGGATGGATATCTCAACATTTTATTACAGGATTTAACTGTTGGGCAGTTTGTATATGTGATCCGGAAACGTATCAAGCTCGCCCCAGAGAAGGCTATCTTCATATTTGTCGACGAAGTTTTGCCACCAACAGCAGCACTCATGAGTGCCATATATGAAGAACATAAGTATGCCAGAGCATGACGATATCGAAATATTTTAATCTGATGCTTTTCAAATAGGGACGAGGACAACTTTTTGTATGTTAGTTATTCAGGAGAGAATACATTCGGGAAGAGAAATGAATCCGCCTAAGGTTGTAATATGTATGGTTTCTGTCCTATATCTGACATCGCTGGCTGATTCGATGATTATAAGTTGATGTGTCCAGTCCGTTAGGTTGAGTGTCTCCCCGTTCTCTACCGTTTACATGTATGGCTTTGTGTATTTTAGCCCGTTATGTCTCAACAAACTCTTTAATTATACTTGATCGTGCCACAATGAGCTGGCAACCTTCAATCTGGCGGACAGTGTCAGTGTTTTACATGTTACTAGTTTGAATTGTGTTACTATCGTTGGACAATAGGTACAATTGGTCTGGGGAGAAGTTGAATAACTCACCAGCCGTTGAGCTTGAGACTGTCGGAACTTGACCAGTAGATATAATTTTTTACTTTCTAGCTGCCTATGTAGAAAAATAAGCAAGAACTTGAAGCATTGGAGCAGCGGAACAAAACTGAAAAGACGACACATGTATTGGAATGGTTCTGCAATTTCTGGTCACACTGGGTCACAGCGGCACTCACAGACCTTAACAGTCAAATTCCGCCAGGTCATACCAAGTCCCGAGACTGGTAGTCTCGTACCCAACCGTTTCTAGGATTGTTGCATGTGGCGCCCTGCAAATGAGCACAGCCACAAGGGCTGGCACGGCGGCAGCGCAATAGCATCAGGAAATTCGTGTAAGTATGATAAGGCCTTATAATGCCTTATAATATGTATAATCTGTATAATAGGCATCAGGCTGATAGTCACATTTATAAGGCTTTATAAGGCTAGATTGAGTATGAGGTTTTTCACCAGCAGTATCAGTCTGGTAAAGTAGATATGGAATTATAAGGCTACCAGTAATATTTAGTGCCGAAAAATGACATTTGGTTGTGACCTGATAATTTGTCACAGCCTATTATATTATTCGCTATATTTTATGAGTAACTCTGTGTATTTTCGTATTTATCAATGTTTGTAGATTTTATTACTCCAAAATTCAACTTAAGTAATAATGGCATGATTATGTAAGTAATTTATGAGCTAATTTTGCTATTTTACGTTTTGCACAAGCAAGGTTTGAACTTGAGATTACATGGTCGGAATCTTAACTGCTGCAGGTAATCTAACCTCTGAGCCATTAGACTACACACCCTCTTACTGGTTTTATTTGATGTCATTAGCATTGATTATACAAAAAAACTAGCAAATTTTACCAAGTCCTCAACTCTGTTGTGCAGCCACCTACACTGTGATTAGTCATGTTTAAGAGCTCCAAAAAAAACACTAAAATTGTGTTGATTATAAGGCCTTATAATCCATGATAAAAATAGAGCAGAATGATAAAAAATGATAAATTAATATATGTGATTATTTTGATGATACCCAAACTATAATAATTATGACAAGTGTATATTACCTGACAATGACTATTGACTTCCTGTCAGGCTGACAACTCCTAATCTGACTTGGATTTTCCATTATATCACCGTGTATGATCTGATACAGGTGGACAAGTCTGGGAACACATTACAAACTCCGTTTAGTCATATCATTTCCTCACCAATTTCCTGATGAGGTCCTAGAACGTCTGGTGCATTTCGTAGAGCAGGGGGTAGATGAAGTCATGTGACCCTAGTAGAATTTTGCACCAAGTTAGATCATTGGGCCCTAACTACTCCATTTGGCTGTCTTCTATAGGGTCATGACCCCTGTACTTTCTTGCATACAAGCTTATGAAAAAGCCCAAGAAGGTTCCACACAACTGTTCAATCGAGTAACTTGATTATTAGAGAGTATGACAGGTATACAGTACCTAGAGTGCAATGTGAGTAACTAGAGAATAGGAAGCATTGGACTCTGCAGTACTGTCCGATGTTTTGTAAACAAAGGTAAACAAAGGAGCCACAAAGGCGAAATAATAGAGAACACAATCAATACTGAATGGTAGAGGAATAGATAGAGAAAGAAATGAAAATATAGAGGTAGCACAAAGGTGCAGAATCACCAAAACTAACACTCCCCCCTGATGCTGCACCTCCCAAGCATCAGCTCCCCCCTGATCTAACAAGTCCCATCATCTGTCTGAACATTTCAACTTTAGGCTTAGCCAGAGCCTTGGTCAACAAATCAGCAGGCATTTCAGCAGTGGGCAAAAAGGTGGGAGCAATTTGGCCAAAGTTAACAATATCTCTCAGCCAATGCCAGCGTAAATCAAGGTGCTTCATTCGACCATGGTGTTCAGGATTCTTGGACACAGAGATGGCAGATTGGTTGTCAATGTGAAGGGTGGAAGGAGAGTTGATAGGATAGCCCATTTCCTTCAACAGATTTCGCATCCAGCAGATCTCTTTGCCAGCCTCAACAGCAGCAATATATTCTGCTTCAGTGGTGGACAGAGCAACAATGTTCTGAAGCTTGGAGCTCCAGGAGACAGCACCAGATCCCATCTTGACAATGTAAGCACCAGTAGAACAACCAGAGTCCTTGTCACCACCATGATCAGCATCAAAGAAAGTGGTGAAGAGTTCAGTGGAATTGGGATCAGGACCAAGGACAAGGGAGTGGTCAAGGGTGCCTTGCAAGTAGCGGAACAAGTGCTTGACAGCGCTCCAGTGAGTGAGACCAGGATTAGAATTGTATCTGGCAAGGACTCCAACAGTGTAGGCAATGTCAGGACGAGTGGTGGTGGCCAAATACATCAGAGCACCATCAGCAGCAAGGTAGGGAGTGTCCTTCATCAAAGCAGTATCACTGGATGTCTTGGGAGACATGTCCTTGGTGAGGCGCAAACCAGGATCCATGGGAGTGGACACAGGTTGCAGTCCTTCATGCCAAAGCGCTCCAGAATGTCCAGAGTGTACTGACGTTGGGACAGAGATATAGTGCGATTGCTGAGGTCTCTGGTGATGGAAATGCCAAGTAGGTAAGAAGTAGGGCCAAGATCACGAAGCTTGAAGTGCTGGGAGAGATCCTTGACAGCTTGGTCAAGTGCAGAAGTAGAAGTGGATGCCAGTGTCATGTCATCAACAAAGACAGGCAGGATAATGCGCACATCAGCTCTGTTAAAGACATAGATGGCAGAGTCTGAATAAGTACGCTTGAATCCGAGTTTTTCAAGTACAGTGTGCATCTTCTGGTTCCACATTCTGCCTCCCTGCTTGGTCCCATAGATGGCCTTGTCCAACTGGCAAACAAGATTGCGAGGACCCTGATGGAATCCCTCTGGCTGGTGCATGTGGCTTGACATCCATGACTCCATTAAGGAATGCATGGGAAATGTCAATGGAGCGCAAATGGAGGTTGTGGATGGCAGCAATTGCAAGGACAACTCTGATGGAGGATATGCGGACAGTGGGTGCAAATATTTCAAGAAAGCCAAAGCCAGGACGCTGGTTATAGCCTTTGGCCACATATCTGGCCTTGTAGCGCTCAACAGTGCCATCTGAGTTACACTTGATCTTGAAGACCCCACTTGCCACCAATAGCCTTGACTCCAGGAGGTAGTTCCACTAGTGACCAAGTACCATTGCGCTCATGAGCTTGAAGCTCTTCCATGGCTGCCTCTCTCCACTTGTCAGCATCTGGGCGCCTCATAGCGTCTGCAAACGACCTAGGTTCAGCAGAATCACCAAAGTGCGCCATTTGAATACCATCTGACTCAGAATCACTGTCACTGTCAATGGCAGGAGTGGGTTTTCTGTGTTGAAGCCACCACTCTCTAGGTGGTTTCCTAGCTCTAACAGGACGTCTGAGAGCAAGAGGCATATCAGGAGATGGTGAACAATGAAGTGGTTGGTCTGGGAGTACAGGAGGCTGATTTACAGGAGGTTCTGGATCAAGGTCCAAATGAGGCCCATTGTCAGGCAATGGCTGAAGCGCAGCTGGTGGGCCTATATCTCCCCCTGGACCTGGTGCAGGGACATCCTCAATCAGGCCCAATGGCATGGATAGCAAAGGTGGAGTAGGAGGTGGAGGTGGGACATTGTCAGTAGACCTTTTCAAGCCAGGGAAGTAGCGCTGTTATGCACCAAAGTTGATTGGTAGCATGGACAGGTGTCAATAACGAAGTGAATATTCAAAAAGACTCGCTTTTGCGCCACACAGGCACAGTGCCACGTGGAATAGTAATTAATATTGCCTTTTTCAAACTTGTGGCTGATCAGCACCACCTCTATTAGGCAATCCAGTCACGCTCACCTTTGCTTTTCCATTCGGTACTTTCCGCGTTTTGGCATTTTGGCAAATTTTTGCGTTGCCACTGGCTACACATTGCATTGTGCCCTCGCTTTTGTTGTTTCCCTTACTCCCCTTCCTTTGCCTAGCCCCACCATGGGCCCCTTCCTCTCCTTTTTATTCTCACCTGACGGTCGTTTCTGGATCCCCATTTTAGTTCACCTCCTCGTCTTATTTGCACCCCCACCATTTCTGATGTCACCACTTCCTATCCGCTTCCGTCGCCGATCCGTTGACTACCACGTGCTTGGGAACTGCTGATATCAGCAAAGCCCCAGCGGCTGGTTCAAATAGGGCAACAGGTCCATCTTCATGACATTGATCTGCCATCATATACTATCAAAACATCGGTTGCTTGTCTTGCCTGGTTGGAGTGTGGGTGGGTAGTTTTTGAGCTGGAGAAGGTTCATCCCCTTGCGTTGCCCATGTTCATCGCTGTCCCATTCACTTGGGTACACTTATCTTTTGTCCATTGTCTTCGCTACAGCTACACCTACCACACACTGCCTGGGACTCACTTGTTCCAAATTGGAACTACTCCTCTCCCTCCCTTGTTTGATCAGGTGGTCCAACACAACCAGTCCATTGGTAAGGCCATGGAACTGTCGGATTTGGACTAGGTGGTGGACTGGTGGCTCCAGTTTCTTTTTCTTCAGCAAAACATTCATTTACAGTGTGATTATTTTTCAATTTTGAATCATTTTTATGGACACATATTTTTTAGAATGCCTGACTGACAATAAAGGAACTGTGTTGATACTGATAGTGTTTTGCCTTGCCCTTTTTTTTACTGCATCTTCCCATGACATCATGATTTTCCTGCTCTCTGTTTGCTATTGGACTTTACTTTATGGCTGTACAAACCTGTGACATTACTCACAGCATTCATTGTTCTATCCCTTTCTTTTCCTTTTTTGACAATCTTAGCCTGTACTACCTATGCAGGATTTGTCAGCATACATTCCTTCCTTCATGTTCTTTCTCATTCTTTTTGCACAGCTATACTGTGCATAGCCTACTTTTCTTTTACTATATAAACCCCCTGTATTTTACCTTGTAAAAACAACAAGAATCCAATCCAGACTTCTTCTTTACTCTCAAGTTCACTACTCTGCTACTTGTGATCCAGTGTGGTCACAACACTTCCCACTTCTACCACTGTTAACTGCTGTCATCGTCACTCGTCACTTTTTAAAAGTGATTGTCATCCCCTTTGATTAGAGTTCTTCTGAGCACTACAGTCTGTGCGTCAGGAGCCTGCTATCACTGGGAACTTTGTTATCTCGTCATTCTCAAACCTACCTTGTGCTACGATTAGCAAGGTAGTGCTCATCTATACTTGTTACTAAGCCCCTATCTTCTATAAATTCAACTATCCCTCCTCCTCAAAACCCACACTCATACATCTCTGGGTTTTACTTTGAAGGATCCTTATACGTACCACCCCACGAACAACCAGACCACTCTACTGTTCTAGGAGGCAAAGCCCATAAACAAGTTCCGTGGAATCTGGGAGGATTGTGTGTTAGTTTGTTTTTGTGAGTGGTTTTCTAATAGCAGTTCTCATCATCAACAGCGCTCATCAAAATTGGCTCTCTCAGAGATAACAGTGCACTTGGTGGTAGGATTGTAGAATTTCCATCCCTTGTAGCCCTCAGGATAACCAATGAATACACATTTCTCCATATGAGAGCCAAAGACACCTCTCTTGTCCTTTTGCACATGCACATAGGCAGTACAGCCCCAAACGCGAAGGTGAAACATGTCAGGCTTGCGTCCATACCATAACTCAAAGGAAGTGGCATGGGCCACTGCATCAGTGGGACACCTGTTCCAGACATGCACCAAAGCGGACAGACATTCACCCCAGAAGCTATTAGGCAATGCAGACTCTGATAACATGGCAGTGATACGCTCAGTTGGAAGTCTGTTTGCTCGCTCTGCCACACCGTTCTGCTGAGGACGATTCCTGGTGGTGTGCTGTCTCACAATCCCATGGTCATCTGTGAATTGCTCAAATTCTTTGGACATGTACTCTCCCCCTTTATCATCGCACAGAGCCTTGATTTTGCGCTCCAATTGAGTCTCAGCATAAGCCTTGAATCTCTTGAAAGCATCAAAGACATCTGACTTGGCCTTGAGAGGCACAACAACAACATGGAATCGACTGTGATCATCAATGAAGGTGACCCAGTAGCGATAACCAGAGAATGTGGGGGAAGAGACTTGGTGAACATCAGAGTGGATGAGGTCCAAAGGATGAGCAGAGCGAGTATCAGATGAAGGGAATGGATTGGCATGCATCTTGCCAGACAAGCACAGTTCACAGACAGGATCAGGAGCAGCCTTCGAGTCCAGTGTAAGCCCAGTGACCAGATCTCTCTGTATCAGTCTCTTGACATCAGCATGATGGTGGTGAGCCAATCTGCGATGCCAGAGCGTCAAATCAAGTGGTATAGTCACAGTAAAATGTCCCAGTTCAACACAAGCAGCAGTAGATCCATCAAGGAATGCTGCATTGTTGTCATGAATAGTTGCAGTGAACAAGAGAGTGTTGTCACGCATAAAGGACATGGAATGAGACAAAATAGTGACATTGAAACCACTTTGATGAGTTAAATACAAGACTGAGAGGAGATTATTTCGAAGATCTGGTACTGTTAGTTTTGGTGATTCTGCACCTTTGTGCTACCTATATATTTTCATTCCTTTCTCTATCTATTCTTCTATCATTCACTATTGATTGTGTTCTCTATTATTTCGCCTTTGTGGCTGCTTTGTTTACCTTTGTTTACAAAACTTCGGACAGTATTGCAGAGTCCAATGCTTCCTATTCTCTAGTTACTCACATTGGACTCTAGGTACTGTATACCTGTCATACTCTCTAATAATAAAGTTACTCACATTGGACTCTAGTTCCAGTCCCTGATTGCTCTCAGCAAGTGGCTAGACACTTCCTTCAAGCTTTGTTCTTAATAGGTACATGGAGCACTCTAGAGAATTCCACAGCCCTAGCCACTTTGCCATTCATCACAGGATTAAACACCACAGTACCAACACCAGCTGAATAGACGACAGTGTGATCAGCCAGCTTGATTGGCACACGATATGGGGTATAGTGGTGCACCCAATGACGATGAGGTGTCATATGAGAAGTGGCACCTGTATCTGCATTCCAATCAATGTCAGCATCAAGTTGGAGAGGGCAATGAGGATCAGAGGGATGAATAGAACGAAGACTTGCATTTTCAGCTGATTCAGTGACCACAGTAGATGAATTGGCATTGTTGGGCGAAGATTTGGGCTGCTGAAAGGTATTCTGAGAGTTGCTGGAGCCTGCCTGAGCCTTATTGCCACACTTGTAGCGATTTTTAGCACCCTCCACTGCCTGTTGGTGTCTAGCAATGTATTTGTGGCATTTGTCTTGGGTATGGCCAAGTAAACCACAGAAATCACACTAAACGCAAGTAGAGGTGGTGGATTGGTTGCAATGATGGCAGTTAGGATGGGTGCAGGTGCTATTGGCAGTGGTAGATAAAGAATGCAAGGCAGAATTGACTTCAGCACGATGACAGCGATTGACCTCTTCAGCAAGGAAAGCATCCCTGAGCTGGGTCTTGTCCAAGGTGCCCAGAAGTAGTAGAGATGAAGTGAAGTGGGCATATTGATCAGGAAGCGCCCTAATCATGGCCATGCATGTCAATTCATCGTCCAATTCAGACAATGAGAAGTCAGTAGGACGAAGATTTTGAATCTGATGCATGCCTTCGTCAATTCTGGTCATGAGAGACTGCAGGGACTTGTCCTCCTTCTTTCTGATAGAGAAGAAGTCGTCATAGGCATTAAATCTCGTCCCAGGCTTCTTAGAGACGTGCACAATTGCCAGTTTCTCCCAGATCTTGACAGGATCATCAATGATGCCATCAAGATGGATGCGCTGCTCTTTGGTGACATTGAGGTATAATGCACCAGCAGCCTTTTCAGCTCTCAACTCCCATTTCTCTATTGCTTCAGCGTCAGTCCCAGGACACTTTTCAGCGCCAAAGACGAGCCTCCACAGTCCCTTGGTCATCAACCAAGCTTGCATTTCACCACTCCACTGGGGTTAGTTAGTGCCAGACAAGGGATGGAACTTGGGATCAGAGTCAGACATGATGGGTGTTGTATAAGATAATAGAGCAATGATAAATGATGTAGGAGACGGCTATAGGCAATGGAATAGTGGCAAAGACAATGGGCAACAGTAGGAGGCGAGCAGATAAGATGGTGAGGCGGTAGAGAGAGGATGTGGAGAGGGTCAGAAAACGCAAGGATAGGTCCAAATAGGGTCCAAAAAGCGTCCAAAAGTGATCCAGGAGGGTGCTAAGGCTTCCTAGTGCTGCTACAGGGTTACACCTGTGTTCCCCTTTCAATTCCACACTGATATTAACAGAGAAATCGCCTCGAGACAGTGTTGGTTAATAGGGCTTGTATATGAGTCAACAAAGTGACTTAAGCTCCCCAAACACCGCAGACTGAGAGAGGCTCTAGGCAACAGCAAACTGAGGCAATGCAGGCGAGCTTCACAGTCTATAGGCTTGTTCTATCTGATAATGGACAGAGTAGAGAAGATTGGAGCTTTATGCACACACCAGATATGCCAAAAAGTGAAAAATAGGGCAAAAAGTCGAAATTGATGCAGAGACAGATAAGATGGATGGATTGCCACCAAATCAGAGGTATAGGGAACATTTTTATAGAGTAATAGATGGCCCAAATATCACAAGAAGTGAAGCACAGGATGTGGAGATATGGGTCCAATAGGGGTGAAAGTGCCAAAAATGCGAACTTCACAGAGGATGATGGAGTGGATGGATTGCCCCCAAATTGAGGGTGTAAAGTGCAATAGTATAGGGTAGTAGATGGCTAAAATAGGGCCAAGATCCAAGCACAGGATGTGGAGATATGGAATAGGGGGCCAAAAGGTGATCAAATGATGATGAAGGCTGAAAGATCCAGCTCAAATCCAACCGCTCTGACAGGTCTCCTAGGGTTATTTAGGCCATAGAAGACGATGGTAGAAGTTACAGGACGATCAGATAAGGATTGGAGGAGATATGGTGCAGATAAGACCAAAAAAGCATCCAAAATGGGGGTAACTTGCAACAAGGAGTTGTTGTTGGGGATCAAGATGAGATCAGAGTAATCAGAGATGGTGGATGGGATAATAGGAGTTCCAGAAGATATTAAGAACAAAGCTTAAGGGAAGTGTCTAACCACTTGCTGAGAGCTATCAGGGACTGGAACTAGAGTCCAATGTGAGTAACTATATTATTAGAGAGTATGACAGGTATACAGTACCTAGAGTCCAATGTGAGTAACTAGAGAATAAAAAGCATTGAACTCTGCGGTACTGTCTGATGTTTTGTAAACAAAGGTAAACAAAGGAACCACAAAGGCGAAATAACAGAGAACATAATCAATACTGAATGGTAGAGGAATAAATAGAGAAAGAAATGAAAATATAGAGGTAGCACAAAGGTGCAGAATCACCAAAACTAACACTACGGGAAGATATCATATCCATACTGGAGGACAAAACTCCAGAATCTCTGAAGGAGACATTTCCTCAAGTAAGAACCTCCCAAATCTTCAGTATTCTTGGGATTACACTCCTCATAGCCTGTCAATTAGCATAAACCCATACCCTATCCCCACATGGTACTCCGGACTCCTGTTCCAATACTCCTGCACTGGACTTCTAGTCTGCCATATGCTTTCCTATGCACGTTCTTGTACTCCTCATGGACTTTGTAGTTTAAACCTTGTAATACACTCCTTGCACATATATTCTCCTCTTGCTAGATAATTGTCCACATGGAAATCTGTACCTATATTACAAGTCACTCCTTACAAGCTCCTACTCCTCCAACAGTATATAAGTTGTAGCTCCTGTACTCTGTTTTTGCAGTTCAAATATCAACTAAATTCCCTCACCTTTTTATAAGTCCTTTTCTAAGTCTTTCCGTTCCTTCTCCAAAGGATCTTTACTCTGTTCTCTTTCATTCTCTACTCTGCTCCGTCCATTCCAATTAGTTAGGGACCAAAGTCTGCAGAATGGCCTAGTGTGCAAGCTAAGCCAACACTCAAAAAGGTCACAGTTCTGACAAAAGATTGCAAAACTACTCACCATGCTCACCAAAAAGGTTGATTGGAGTTGGAAGGATGAACAAGTAATGTCTTTTAAAACTATAAAACTTTGAAAAAACACTCACCACCGCCCCTACCCCTGCTGTTCCAAGAAATGATAACCCATTCAAACTAGAAGTAGATCATCTGCCTTTGACTTGACTGTAGGAGCTGTTCTATCCCAAAAACAGAGTGATAAATTCAGACCCATTGCATTCCTCTCAAAAACCCTTACTCCTGCTAAATGAAACTATGGAATCTATGACAACAAAAAGCTTGCTGTTATAACAGCACTAGATGAATGGCAACATCACCTTATAAAATCCAAAAACTCATTCAGACCCCTTAAGTAAATCTAGGAATTGCCATGCAAATACAATTAAAACTGCACATATATCTTAAGGTTCTATTCAGCCACATTTAATACTACAGGATTTAGGAAAACCGCTTGAGCAAGAATCTAGCCTACCAGAATTATCAAAATTATTTGGCTTCACAAGACCTCATTTCAACTAGTTCAAATGTCAAGGACATTTGGTTGCAACCTTTTACAAGTGTAAATACTCTCTATTCCCTAACATTACACCATTGACACTAGTGTCTTGTTTTTTTAAGACAAGCAAATTTTGTACAAGAGTGGATTATGAATCAATAATAAACTTGAGAAAAGCAACCAACCTTTTACAGTGTAGCCTCAATTTCCATGGTTGATTGTGCTATGACTGTGTGATCATACACAGCGCTGATGATGACATCTTTGCCAGGCTTGTGTACATACTGACCCTAGAATTCTTTTGTGTTTGCTTGAAGCCTTGACAACTTACAGAACTTGTATCTATACAGTTCATTATTTAGAGGGCACTTTGTAGAAATTATATTATGTAAGCAAACTTTGGAGCTTTGCCCGAAGATTTACTCTGTGATTATAACCGGCTTTTTGTGGCTACCATTATTTTTTCACATGATATTTATGTATATTTGTTATATAAGAAGCCTTGTATTTACATTGTCACGGCATTCATTTGCCCAAGGATCCTTCTCCTACACCTGTTCCTGTGCCCTGAGAGACCAAATATTCAACACACTTTTGGTAAGGAACAGCAATATAGAGACAACAACTACCTTGTTATAAACACCATAGATGCTGATATGTTCTTTCACCTCAAGAAGATGTATTGGTATTGCTATATTGTATATGACACTCTAAAAACCTTGCAGATCACTTATTGTTATCTTCATTCAATAATACACTAAACTGATGTATATTCATCCAGGTGAAAATCAAGGTTTATGAACTTAACACCTTGCTCTTACAACATGTCAACTTGCAAAGAACAGTGAGGTTTATTACATCTATTAGATCATTATCTTGTCAACTCATAGCGTAGTTACACAGCAACACAATTATGTATACAAACAACACTTCAAACATGAGGTCAAGCTAGTATGTCTAATAAGCCAATATAGAAGTGGGTCAACCGTTTTAGTTCACACACACATGGGCCAATATCTAAAATATTAGAATGTCTATGAATTCAAATCACTTCAATAGTCTAATAGATGACCATGATGATGAGGAAATCTTACTACATGAAGAAGATGACAATAATACTTTGGATAATGAGACATCCTCAGAGAACCTTGGACTTTTGCCCAAAAGAGCAATACTTGGTGAATATAAATGAGTATTTCATTACTAGTATTTTTATCTCCTCACTGTAACAATTCTGCTCTATTTCGTTCAAAAAAGATTATTTGTCACTCCTTAATGTGTGCAAAAAAACTGCAGATTGAGTATGCTACTCTCCAAGCTAGGCAGGCTAGCAGCCCACACTCCTCCAGGACAGCTGATGCCCCCCTGAAGTCCTCTGGCATAATAAACAGATTGCAATTTTGGGCCGCCTATTTAGATTTTTACTGTATATGAGCCTTGGGTTGATGATAATATGCTTGGTCAATGTAAGTGCCCAGATATTGATGTCAATAATATTACTTAGCAATATGCTATGAAAGTATTGATATGTCTGGCCATCATCACAGAAATCCATAATATTATCCCTTAATCTGTTATGTTTTGCATGAATTACTTGGTCTTTGCTAGTCTTGTAAGTTGTCCCCATCCCAGTTAATGTCTGATGTTTATGCATTTTGACAGAGTCTGAATAACTCTTGGGGGTACCTCATTGTCAGTGTGCAGAAAAATATTTCACAGGTATTTAATCTTCCCTCATTGCATTTCCTCACCAAGGCTAATTGTGGGTTTCTGGGCTAGTGAAGCTCCCAAAGTTCTAAATAAATGCAAAAAAATATCCAGTCCTACCTTCCCTATGTTGAAATAGTCAAGGTCAAAGCCTGTTAGCCTTGTTAGACAACATACATCATGAGTTGACATTAGTACAAGGACTAGTGGCTCAGTTAGTTAGAGCACTGCCATACATAGGCAGAGGTCCTGGGTTTAATCCCTGGCTGGTCTACTTTGCTTTTATGCACTCTCTGTGGTCAGGTGGAGTATGAGGTTGGGAGTTGACTTAGCTTGCGTGCTAATCCCTTCTGTGGACCTTGGTCCCTAACTCATTGGAGTGAAACAGATGAGAGTAGAGGATGAAAAAGAGTAGAGTAAAGGTCCTTTATAGAAGGACTGGAAAACTTAGAAAGGGACTTGAGTAAAGGCGAGGGAATTTAGTTGATATCTAAACTGTAGGAATGGAGTACAGAAGCTACAATTTATATACTGTTGGAGGAGTGGGAGCTTGTAAAAAGTAAGGAGTAATGTATGTATGGAGTTCCATGCAGACAATTATCTAGTGGAGGAAAATCATATGTGGGAGGAGTGTACCATAAGGTCTAAACTACAGAGTCCATGAAGAATATGAAAATGTGCATAGAAAATGCATGGTGGCCTAAAAGTCCAGAGCGGAT